GGTCAAGGTTTGACCAAATGCTGGGGGATGGTTCTGTGGTTACTAACTTGGGAAAATGCCTCAGAAGCCAGAAATGGCCTTGCTTCTGCTTCGGTCAGCTCACCTTGGACAGCATCTCTAAAGTCCCTGTGCTTTGAATGCTTTGTAAATCCAAGTTTCTTGTTGTTGCTATTGTGGTTAAGGACAGAAGGAAAAACCACAGGGTGACCTCTCCTTTCAAGCCTGATTGAGCTCTTTAAGGCATGTGTGGGCCCAGAGACTGTGGGAGCTGAAGGCTATGGGCAGTGCAGGGAGGTGAGTGGAGAGCATTGTCATATCTGAGATACAGCTTTCACATCTCTGAGATCAGAATGTGTCCTCTCTGTGGTATCTTAAAATTGTCGCTGTGGGATGCCCAGGTGGCTCAGATGGTTAAGCATCTGCCTTGGGCTCACGTCATGATCTCAGGACCCTGGGATCGAGTCCCACATTGGGGTTCCCCGCTTAGCAGCGAATATGCTTCTCCCTCTCCCTTTGCCTCTCCCCCAAACCCTGCTCATGCGCTCGTGCTCCCTCTCTCTCACTTAAGTAAATAGAATCTTAAAAAATGTTGCTGCTGCCAGGAGACAGGCTTGGCTTAGTCCTTATTGCCTACACACGTGCAAACATCAGATGTGTCAGCATCAAAACTTGGAGAAGTGACATCAGCATCTTGAAAGAAAACCCTAGAAACAATAATAAAACATTATTTTAACCCTGAGATCCAAATGTTGAGCAGGTCAGGGAAGGTTCAAGAGGCACTTAAACATAGGCCAGATCTACATACCTTTTTAAAAGATTGATTGATTGATTTATAGAGTGGGAGCGAGACGAGGGGCAGAGGGGGAGAGAAAATCTCAAGCAGACGCCACACAGAGCATGGAGCCCAGTGTGGGGCTTGATCCCACAACCCTGAGATCATGACCTGAACCAAAATCAAGAGTTGGATGCTTAACTGACAGAGCCACCAGGTGCCCCTAAAGCCTGCTTAAGAGCCCAGACCAATGGATTTAGTTCCATTTATGGATTTTTTTTTTAATGTTGTATCTCCAATATGCTTGATGGCACAAAGGACAAAATTACATAGAAAAGGATGGATATCATTGAGTCACAAAATGATGCGAAAGAATCAGAATGTAAAGAAGTTTTAGGAGTCCCTAGGGCCATTTATTTTCCTTATATTTTTATGTGCATAAATATGATATCTGATATAAATATGCCTAGAGTCTAAAAGCTTTTAATAAGTGTAAAAGAAATGTTCTCAGTAATTGGAAAGCATTGTGTCATAGTTTAACTAGAAGTAGTTTTGCTTTTTTGCTGGTATCTAAAGTAATGGTGCATTTTATAATTGATGGTATCTTAGATTCATTGAAACACAGGCAGCAAGGATTTGATGAGTCTAGGAGCCCTGAAGTGTTGGTCCCTACTTTGTTGGAGACCCAAAGACTGGTGCCAAAGAGTATTTTCAACATTAAAAGGAAAAAAATGAAACACCCATTGATGACAAGTATATGGTAAAACAGACACTGGTATAAACTAAGACGTTAACCTTGGGGCACCTGGCTGGCTCAGTATAGCATGGAACTCTTTTTCTTTTTTTTTTTTTAACGATTGATTTTTATTTACTTATTTTGAGATAGAGAAAGTGAGAGCTAGAGCAGGAGCCAGGAGCCAGAGGGCAAGGGAGAAGCAGACTCTCTGCTGAGCAGAGAGCCCAGTGTGGGGCTCGGTCCCAGACCCTGGGATCAGGACCTAACCTGAAGGCAGACGCTAACCAGGTGAGCCACACAGGCACCCCAGATTTACAGTGACTGTTAAGTTGGTGTGCGGGTTAGTGAGTCTTATGCCTGCCCCAAGCCACCCTCCTGTGTGCTGCTTTGTGATGGTCATGCTGTTGCTGAAAACCACATTCTCCTTTGCTCACTGGCTCTCTGTGAGGTTCTTCCTGTAGGAGGCATGATGAGCCTTCTGGCAGTGGGAGAAAGACTCTAACCAGAGTGAAGAACCATTGGTGGGGTGGGGAGGATGCAAACAGGAAGGAGCAACCTTACTGTTCCCTCTAGTGGGTTCTTTGTCCAGGCTTCTGAGGTCTGGCCCAGCTCCTTGAGGTAACACCAGCCTCTTCCCTTCCTTCTCCAGCTTTAGACACAGAGCTCCCATGGCACAAATGCTTATAAAAATTAGGTGCTGATATAATTGATGAATTCCCTTCGCCAAACATACCCACTGGGTTTTAGATACTGAACTTGAAGTTGTGTTAAAGTATTAGCTCTCGAAGTGCCTCCCTTTGTAACTTCCACATGCGTTAAGCCTGATTTGAACTAAATGGAATAAAAAGGTGGATTTTATCCTTGGTCCGATTGCTGGCATAGGAATTTGGCCCACGTCGCCAGCCCTGTGGGGATGAGAGCGGGACCTGGTGATGGGCATTCGTGGGAACGCAGCATTAGCATCGTCCCCTCCCCCCAGGACTACCTGGGCCCTGGCTTCCACCTCCCTCCTCCTCACTGCCCTCACCGCTCTGGTAAGCGCTGACCCACTTCGCAGAGCAGGTGGACTTTGTCAGCGGGGATCACCCTGCCCCTAGATGTTTCTGTACCTCTTCACCTCACTTCTTTCCAGCTACCCACAGTCAGATCTTCCTGAGTATTTCCTATAAAAAATGGCTGTGAGATCCTCCCTTTCCTTTAATTGAAGCCTGCCTCATTTCCCTTTGTGGCATTTATCACATTTATTTGTTTATGGATTTATTTTCTGCCTCCCTGGCTGGGAATGTAAGCCCTGTTAGGGTACGGAGTTTATGTACTTCGTTTGCCACTGTATTTCCAGCCCCTGGCAGTGCCTGGCACATAGTGGGCTCCTAAAAAATACTTGACAGAGTAATGAGTGCACTTAACAAGCAGACACTAATTATGGTGCTGTGGCAGATCTCTGTCCCATGTGAACGTGGAGTGAAAATGTTGCACAAACACCACACTGACTTGCTTTCAAACTTTGATGCTGGCTTTTTGCAAAAAGATTTATCTTACCCAAAATTTTCTCCTTGAGCCTGTTTTTTTTTTTTTTTTTTTTTAAGATTTTATTTATCCTTGAGCGTCTTTTGTTTTAAGTCTGGACATTTTAGTTCTGGAAAGAGGACCCAATTTGGAGTCACAGACATGGTTTCAAATCTTTACCATTACTAGCCACACCCAAAAAATCCCTCAATCTCCCTGAACCTCGATTTTCTCATCTGTATAGTAGGTATAATCTTTGCTTTGCTTACATCAGGATTTATTGTAAAGATCAAATGAACAAATGTGTTTCTCTCCCTCCCACACTGTGTTGGGGTCTGGATTCTTCTGGCAGTCCCCCCACCCCAACACCACCCACTATGCTGTCTTGCAAGTTGAGACATTTGATCTTTGTCTTCCTGTCCAGCCCTAAAAATCCAGAAGGTATGGGTCCACTACAGAGACTGACTCTGACTTTGTCTTGCAAGTGTTTCCAACTGAAGAAAATTCACAGGAAGACAAGGCAGCCTCTTTTCTGTCCTACTCATAATTGCTAATACATAATTGCCTCAGTAACTTGACCGTCAACCCCGGTAACAATATCCTTCCCCTACACCTGTGAAGCTGATGGAACAGGACAGAGAAAACAGAATCCAACAGAAGAAAGAGGGTACGTTTCTCTATAACAAGGCCTAGGACATTATTGTCTGAAGGAAGGACATGATTGAAAGGTCCTGAAAACTGAGCTCCATCTCAATCAACCTTAGGAGCCTGAAAAAGAACAAAGAATCTCTTCCTTACATCATAATAACAGTGGAAAGCAAAACGAATCACGGAGCATGCCTTTGGGAATGTTGATATGCCATAGCAGAATCCTTCTGGGAACCTACAGCGGGAAAGGATCAGTTGTAGCAACAAGATCCAGGGCTGTCCCAAAGAATCATGTCCCCAGTGATCACATTTCAGTGCCATCTTTCCTGTTGACTAAAAGGATCAGTATGAGGTCATACTATGGGTGGTGAGACTGGATTCTGGTGTTTTCTATGGGCTGTCCTTTGTCTTTTTCCCTCCTTAGATCTCAGTTTTCCCTCCTTTTGTATCCATAATTTATAAACTGTCTGTGTAGTTTTAATGACTTGCTGATTTGATTTAGCTTCCTTTTTCACTGTATCGATTGGTACTAAAAGATGCACGAGGCTTTCAAGTCCCGACATCAGTGATGAAAAGGAGTTCTACTATCAATAGTCTGAAGCAAAGACACTTGTGGCCGAAGAAAGTATAAATAGAGTTTGGTGTTTTTCTCCTGAGTCTGTTTGGGGAATGAATGCATGATGATTAGAATCTGTTTCTTTTCTATTTAAAAAAAAAAAAAAAAAAATGGACTCCTGGAGAAGTAGAAGTCAGTACTAACGTGCTATTTAAATATTCCGTACAAACTCAGATGTGTTTTGTTTTTTTTTTTTTAAGATTTTATTTATTTGTCAGAGAGAGAGAGTACACACAAGCAGGCAGAGAGAGAGGAGGAAGCAGGCTCCCTGCCAAGCAAGGAGCCCGATGCGGGACTCGATCCCAGGACCCCAGGATCATGACCTGAGCCGAAGGCAGTGGCTTAACCCACTGAGCCACCCAGGCGTCCCTCAGATGTGTTTCTAAAGAAGGAAAGAAAATACCAGCAACAAAACAAAAAAGATCCAAGGAGAAAACTTAAAAAAAAAACCATCCAGATGTTGTTCTTGCCACTTCCAAGTTCCTGTTCAGTGTGGCGCTTGAACATTTGAGAAGCACGAGTGTGAAGTCCGGGGCCAGCACCCCGGGTCTCCTTCCCCGCTCTTGATCCCCTTATACCTATTTATTCTTCCTTTTTACTTCCGGTGAGGGAGCTAATTCCCATGTGTAGCAGAACAGTGGGTCACTCTGTTACTGCAGGCATCCGGATTCTTCCCGGACTTATTAAGGACCAGGGCCACTGGCTGTCTTTGGGTTTCCTAGACTCGAGAAGAAGACAGGAACCAGGATGGGAAAATGGACATGTTACATTTTAAGCTGGAGCTTCCCCTGCAGTCCACGGAGCACGTTCTCGGTGTGCAGCTCATCCTGACTTTCTCCTACCAATTGCACGTGAGTCCATTCCTCAGGGAAGCCCATCCCCTCCCTTTTGTGCCTTCATAGAACTGAGCCCTCTGTCTGATTCCTAGGAAAACCCCTGCTGCCAAAGGCTCTCTTCCGAAGTGTTGTGCGGGATTTAATTGAGGCAAATCGCACATTTCTCATGGGGGCCGTGTTGGTGTGCGTGGGCAATTCACAGCTCGCAGGGTTTCGGGCCGATAGCTTCCCGCATGGCCAAGCAGGTGTTGGAGGGGCTGGGACGCTGCCACCCCAGACAGGGATGCCCAGGGCCCAGAGCCTTCCGATCCCCCAAAACTGTCTCTCCCTCTAATGATTTCAGAGGATGTCCACGTTCGTGATGCAGAGCATGGCGTTTCTGCAGTCCTCCTTCGCTGTTCCAGGCTCGCAGCTGTATGTGCACGGGGACCTGAGGCTGCAGCAGAAGCAGCCCCTAAGCTGCGGAGGCCTGGACGTGAGATACAACGTAAGGAGGCTCAGCGCTGTTGTCGTTGCTTTTGTTTCTCTCTGTTACTGCTTATCATAAAGAGGGAGGCGTGAAAGTTGGAAATAGCATTTCTCTGTAGGTGGCCCAGAAGAGGATTTCTGTGGAGTTCTCGCCTTGAGTTCTTTCAGAATACAAGGCCAGATACACTGGTATTTGCATCTATAAAGAGACCAGAAACACGCCTTTAAGAACTGAAGCATTTCTTCTTTGCGGATGCGCATGCGCGCACACACGTGGCTTATGCCAAGTGGCCTTTTCCAGTTCGTGTAAAACACTGGGGAAGTCACGGCTAACCGCTGTTTGCTAAGCGGCAGCCGCCTCCGGGGATCCTGCCCCTGTCCTTTTCCAGCTCTCCAGCCGCTTGTCCTGTCATGGTCCCCCGGGGCTCCTTTCCAGCCAAACTGGCCCTTTCGCTGTTCCTCAGTCCCACGGAGCAGCTTCTGCCCCCCAGTTTTTCCTCCTGCCACATATCCACGTAGCTTGCTCTCCCACTCCATTCAGGTCCCTGTCCAAATGTGCCCGAGCTCAGTCCTTCTCTGACTCCTCTTTCTAAAGACCGTTCTCCTCCCTGCCCGTCACCCCTCACCGTGACTGATTTTCCTTAGTTCCACCGGAAATAGTAAAGATCAGGTTTTGGTTTGTTCGCCTCCTGTCTCCCCCAGTGCTAAAAGCACAGACATCTTCTCCACTGTCACCCCAGAGCCTAAAGCAGGGCCTGGCACATTGGAAGCACTCAGATTTGTTGAAAGAATGAACTCTCGTTTTTACACATCAGGAAACTGAGGCAGACAACGCTTAATTAATTTTCCCAAAGTCCTGCCACTTGAAAGTAACAGAGCCATAAATTGTCCAGGACTGGATCTTACACATACAGTGACTCATTACTGATCTTTCTTTTATCACAAGGGAGCCTGTGTAAGCTGGGCCAGGCTACTTTTGAAAATGAGTGATCTTTTCAGTTACTACAGGCATGAACCAGGACTGCTCCAGATAAACAGATTTATGGTCTCTCCACCTATAGTCAATGTAAAGGTTGTTTTCGTTTTCTTTTTTAAGATTTTATTTATTTATTTGAGAGTGAGTGAGCGAGAGCACAAGCAGGGGGAGTGGCAGGCAGAGGGAGAAGCGGACTTCCCACAGAGCAGGGAGCCTGACCTTGATCCTAGGACCTCCAGATCAACACCTGAGCCAAAGGCAGACGCTTAACTGACTGAGCCATCCAGACGCCCCTCAATATAGGTTTACATAAAAAGAAGGGGGACTATAAGATAAAAACTTTTTATTTGAAGATTTAGATATTGATTATATCAATAGGAATGTAATATTACAAGGCAGGAGATAGTTTACTTCTTCAAAGGATTATATGCTTATTATTTGCCCTTTATCCTATTTTCATCTCTAGATTTAAAAGCGAGAAATTACAGGGGTGCCTATGTGGCACAGCCAGTTAAGCATCTGCCTTCGGCTCAGTTCATGATCCCAGAGTGCTGGGATCAAGCCCTAAATTGGGGTCCCTGCTCACTGGGGAGTCTTCTTCTCTCAAAATCTTTAAAAAAAAAGAGAGAGATAAATTACGGAGTGTCCAATGAAGAGCAAGAAAGACAAAAGAGATGAAAATATGGACTCCTTAAAAAAAAAATTCAAAGAATTATTGCTCCCCTTGGAACGGGGTGGGGGGGTGTTTTATAAGTAACTAAAACCCATTAAAGGTGGATATTGACCTCTTTTCCATCCCAGTAAAACGGAAGACTCGGGGGCACCTTGGGAAATAGTTGATCAAGCATCCAACTTTTGCTTTTGGCTCAGGTCATGAGATTGAGCCCTTTGGTAGACTCCACACTCAGCTAATTGTCCACTTGACTTTCTCTCTTCTTCTCCCTCTGCCCCTCCCACTCATGCTGCCTCCTTCTCTCTCGCTCTCTATTGCTGGAAAGTAAATAAATCTTTTTAAAAGGGTCAGGGAGACTGAATGTAGACGACTTAAATTGTTGCAAGGCAGGCTGGGGGAGAGGGGGCAGGGGAGATCACCTATCATCCATCCTTGAAAAAAGGACTCCTGATGCTAGAGTAGGTCACCAAGCCCAAGAGGGAGGTCTGTGAGATGAGCCTGGGGGGGAGGGAGGGTAGAAAGACGAGTGGAGAAGTGGCTGGGGGCTTACTCGTATCCTCCTGCCATTTCCCAGGTGTCCGTAATCAATGGGACCAGCCCTTTTGCCTATGACTACGATCTCACCCACATTGTTGCTGCTTATCAGGAAAGGAATGGTGAGTCATAGGTACAGTTCGTTCAGCCCCTTCTCAAGGACCTTCCAGGTTAGAGGGAACATCGGACAAAAACAGAATTGGAGCCCTTGGGACGCCTTAGGTGGCTCAGTCGGTTAAGCATCTGCCTTGGGCTCAGGTCATGATCCCGGGCTCCTGGGATCAAGTCCCATATGGGGCTCCCTACTCAATGGGGAGCCTGCCTCTCCCCCTGCTTGTGCTCACTCTCTCTCTCTCTGACAAATAAATAAAATCTTAAAAAAAAAAATAGAATTGGAGCCCTTCTCATGATGAAAATGGCAGTACCAGTGAATACTCAGTGATGGGAGGGGAACAGGCTGCCCCTATTTGTCTTTTTCCTCCTGATCTAAAGACCCATTCCATACCCCGCACCTTACCACTAGTCTTATGGTCCAGCAGGTGACTGCTGATTTATGCCCCGTATTTATTTATTAAGTGCCACATTTATCCCACCACTGGCTTGATATATTTCCTTTTTAATGTAAATGCCTAGTTGAGTCGGCCCCACTACCACACACAAAGACAAACTGCTATCCTTGGTTTTCAGATAGAACTAAAGAATGTGAGTGACTTACCTGACATGAGCAGTGGAGGTAGATCAGAGGGCCCAAGGTTCTAGCTGGAAGGCAGAGCGTGTCCATTCCTTACAGAGAAAAGGCTGTCAGGCCAGCCCAGTGTACTTGACTCAGCACATTTGGCGGGTTGGTGGTCTGAGGTTTTCTCTAAAGGCATCTGAAGGGTTCCTTGGCAGCCAGACATCAGGGATGCTATACACACATATTTATCCAATAGGGGGACTGCAGTTCCAGTAGTCCTGATTTTTGAGTAACGCACTGGTGGCATTATTCCAAGGCTAAAGGTATTTTAAGACAAAAGCACTCATCTACAACTTTGCTTTCTGTAGTCCTTTCAGTCCTTGTCCATAGCAGATTTTTTTACATTCAGCTCTTACCATAGTTTAGAAACATTTTAGGATCCAATTTTTTTGTCCTTTTTTATTTAACTTATTATTTATTTATTTATTTATTTGAGAGAGAGGGGAAAATGATCACAAGCATGGGGAGCAGCAGACGGAGAGGGAGAAGCAGGACCCCTAGTGAGCAGAGAGCCCAGCAGGACATGGAACTCAATCCCAGGACCCTGAGATCATGACCTGAGCCGAAGGCAGATACTTAACTGACTGAGCCACCCAGGCACCCCTGTACTTTGAAATATAAATATTTCCCACCCTGCTACAAGGTTTTAATTGGTATTATTTTTAGTGGTAGCATAGTATTCCTTTACTTCGTCATTCAACAACTATAGAACATGTAGACCATTCCAAGATTTTTTTCTTTTTTTTTAAGATTTGTCTGTTTATTAGAGAAAGAGAGAGAGAGAGCGTGAGTGGAGAGGCAGAGGAATAGAATCCTGAAGCAGACTCCCTGCTGAACACAGTCTACACACGGCTCAGTCCCATGACCCTGAGATCATGATCCAAGCCGATACTAAGGGTCAATGCTTAATACTTAACCAACTGAGCCACCCAGGCACCCTGATGGTTCCACATTTTTAACATAATTTTTTGTTTTTTTAAATAGGCTCTACGCCCAGAGTAGAACCCAATGTGCAGGGCCCGAACTTAACAACCCTGAGATCAAGACCTGAGCTGAGATCAAGAGTCAGACACAACCTACTGAGCCACTTGGGCGCCCCTTTAACATAAATATTTTGACGAGTATTTTATTTTTTTTATTTTTTATTTTTTCTTTCTTTTTTTTTTTTTTAATTTTTATTTATTTGTTTGACAGAGATCACAAGTAGGCAGAGAGGTAGGCAGAGAGAGAGGAAACAGGTTCCCTGGCGAGCAGAGAGCCCAATGTGGGGCTTGATCCCAGGACCCTGGAATCATGACCTGAGCCGAAGGCAGAGGCTTTAACCCACTGAGCCACCCAGGCGCCCCTTATTTTTTATTTCTTTAAGATTTTATTTATTTATTTGACAGACAGAGATCACAAGTAGGCAGAGAGGCAGGCAGAGAGAGAGGGGGAAGCAGGCTCCCCACTGAGCAGAGAGCCCAACTCGGGGCTTGATCCCAGGACCCTGGGATCACGACCTGAGCCAAAGGAAGAGGCTTTAACCCACTGAACCACCCAGGCGCATCAAACATAAATATTTTGACGAGTATTTTAATGAATAATTTGTGAGCAACTTTGCACATTCCGTTCTCTTTTCTTTGGGGTCATTTCTTTGGAATAAGTTCTGCTGTGCAGAATTTGCCTGAGAGGTTAAAGAATACTTTTCTAGCCCTCATTACTTTATTCATGGATTAACTCTGGCTTGCATTACAGTAACCACCGTGTTCACTGGCCCCCACCCCATCTGGCTGGTGGGAAGGGCTGCCGAAGCTCCATTCGTGATTAACGCTGTCATCCAATACCCGGTGGAAGTCATTTCATATCCTTTCTATTAAAGAGCCACAGTAGCTCAGTTTCAAAAAAGGAGGGTTCCTCCATCATCCCAAGAAGGAACAGATGCAGGAGGCCTTCGACTGGGATTGGCTACAGTTCGTGGCCCCACTCAAATGACTCTGTCTGCTATTCATACAGGGGAAAACAAAATAAAACTCATTTCCTCTTCCTATTTCTTTCTGGGCAAGTCTTCTAAGTCAAAATCATATTTATGCCTTAATAATCTTTAATCATATTCCCTTTTATCTTAAGAGTATTTGAAACATTTTTGCCATTTCCCGTCTAAACTAAACCTTTGGTTTAACTTCCATTGGGAAAACACCATCTGTGACTCCTTAACTGTCTGTACATATCTACCAGGATTCTGGGAAATGATCAAGTTTGCCTGGGTCCAGTATGTCAGTATCCTGCTTATCTTCCTCTGGGTGTTTGAAAGAATCAAAAGATTTGTGTTTCAAAATCAAGTGGTGACCACAATCCCTGTCGCAGGGATGCCCCAGGGAGAAGTGTATAAGGAGCACTTGTCATAGGAAGACCATTTCTGAGAACTCAGCAGGATCCTGGCTACCTCATTGTGGTCTTCTGAGAACTGCCATCTTAAGAAGTTTTTGCAAAGAGCCTGTGGACACTTGCCGGTGTGTGTGCTTTTCCTGTCAAAGACAAAGGACAGTCCTTTCTTATTTTTCTCTACACAAATCCATATCTTCTAAGCACCTGGCACGTAAGCACCACTCATCAGGGACTAGTTTGTGGAAACATCCAAGGGTTCCCGAAGGCTATAATTTGCTTGGTTTTTTTTTTTTGTTTGTTTGTTTGTTTGTTTTGCCTTAGGGTTGAATTTCAGGAGAAAACTACAATCAGTTCAGACCTCTTGGAAAGGGTCCCATCTCTGGTCAAGCAAAGACTTTTCCTCTTTTGAACCGAGAAGCGTGCTATACATTTCTTCCCACTATTGTAAACCACTTCTTACTCTTTTCAGGGCTCTCTTGTGAGAGAGATGCAAATCAGCAGCGCTTTCCACTCCTGAGCCTCTAAGTTTCCCGTTCAGAACTTCGTTTTCCAGTGCTGAGAGGCCATGAAGGGGAGAACAGGAGCGAGAAGAAGGGAGCGCTTAGGAGCACATGCGTGCACACGTGTGCGGGTGGGCGACCCCAGAACACGAGGACCGTCCACCTGCCGTCGGCCTAACAGACAGTCGTCTGTCGTCGGCTCAGCTGCAGGGCCCTCTATCCCTGCCCTGCTGGGGCTGGCTTGTTGCCCTGCCTTTCGCCCTGTCTGTGCCCCCTGGAACAGCAGGCTTCAGCCAGAGTGCTGTTTAGTCCACAAATCCCCCCAGCAACAGCGGGGGAAGTAAGGATGAGAACCACAGTCGCCTTCTCTCTGGCCCTCCTCCAACAGCCTGGACACTTGCCACTTTGTCCTTGACAGCCCTGCCCCTTCTTGAAGAGGACGTGGGTGACAAAGGAGCTGTTGTTGGTATTGGCTCCCACTGCCAACGGTCACAGAGCTCCTTTGGATGGCCAGCGGGAAGCCCGGCTACTCGAATTTCCCCCGATGAAGGAACAGGGTGCCGATCAGGGTGAGCGGCTTTGCAGGGGACACACGAGGTGTGATGAGGGGATCAAGGGAGTGTTCACCCAGGCAGCCCACTCTGGCCTGGCGGGTAGCAGAATGTCAGGCAGGCCAGCAGGCTCATCCTCTTGCTCTAGTGAGAGTCTGCAGGGTGGGACCACTGAAATGGGCCCCTGTTGCTCATGGAAGACTGCTTCTCCGTTCTTGGCATGTAGAGACAAGCTGCCCACAAAGGACAAATGGATCTGCTTTATGATCCCAAGATATTGGCACTGGAGACATGCCTGTTCTGACCCATGCATTATGCCGACGCACGAACACTCTCCTCAGCGTATGCCTCAGTTTACCTTGGAGGTTCAGTTCTCGTTTCTAAAGCACCTTGTCTTTCAGGCTGACCAAAATAAGAAATCTTTTGAAGGATTCAAGCACAAAAATAGCTTACCACTGGTCCCTCTGCCTTTTCTTTTAACATCTAGGGCTGTTGATAGTACCTAAAGATTTTCTCTTGAGATATAAATGGAAAAAAAAAAAACCAAAACCGGTTTCTGGTTTGAATCCCAAGAAGGTAATGAGATGTGGAAAGATAGCTAAAGATGTAAATAAACACTGCGTTTTGTTAAATTATTTTAATGCAGGATTTGTATAAAGAACCATGATGTTTTGTTCTTTTCTAATTAAAATATTCAAAACTGAAGGCTGCGTGTGGCTTTTTCAAGGAGAAGAGTTTGGAAAGGGGGTGGGGAGGGGAGAGGTTGCGCACACTTCTCCGAGTTACTCACTGGCCACCTTGCCTTGCCAGGGCTCTGCCCTAAGACCCTGGAGCTTTTGTTGGCTCTTTGGCAGAGTCTCCTGGTTCAGTCCCAAGTCCATGTGAGTTTTCGGTGGAATCCACATGGCATGTGGAAACCACAGACTGGAAAATTACAACTGTGGCGAATATCAAATTATTTACAGATCAGATGTTGGTAGCATCGAAACCTGAATGATACAGTATAGTGGCAAGAGGGAAAAAAGTGAGAAATACACAGGATTTTATCAACTGAGCTGTAACTCATAGCTAAGTCAGGGTTTGAGACAATTATGCGATATTTGGGATGGGGAAGATCTCTAATCTTGTGAAATGATTATACAGTTTCTGTGTGAATCACGTAGGGCCCCTAAGACCCTGCTTAGGTCCCATCAACTAAAAAGCAATTCTTGGTCTTATTTCTTTCTCCTCGTATTCATGTTTTTTTTTTAATTTTTTTAAAGATTTTTTATTTTCTCATTTGAGAGAGAGCACAGGGGCAGGAGAGGGTCAGAGGAAGAGGGAGAAGTAGACTCCCCACTGAGCAGGGACCCCCCCCCTTCCCCAAAGGCTCTACCCCAGGACCCCAGGATCATGACCTGAGACTAAAGCAGATGCTCAACTGACTGAGCCACCCAGGCGCCCCATCATGTTCATGCTCTTTAAGATGTTTTGTTTCTGGGGTGCCGGGGTAGCTCAGTAGTTAAGCATCTGCCTTCTGCTCAAGTCACAATCCCAGGGTCCTGGGATCATGCCTCGCATGGGGCTCCCTGCTCAGCAGGAAGCCTGCTTCTCCCTCTCCTACTCCCCTTTGCTTGTGTTTCCTCTTCTGCTGTGTCTCTCTCTGTCAAATAAACAAAATCTTTAAAAAAAAAAAAGTCTTATTTCTTTCTGACCAGATTCTAAATGCCAATTAGACCAATTTCTAAATCCCTTTTGGGGAAAATATATAATTATAGTAACCTAAAGGAAATAAGTTGTCCTTAGATGTCCTATTGGCATTCTGGTACATGTCTTTTCAATCTTTTGTACTGTTTCTAATTTTTCTCTATCATAAACAACACTTATATGAACTTTGTGTATGAATCCTTATTGCCAGCTATTTCCTTAAGATGGATCCTGGGTTGAGGGGGCAACTGGGTGGCTCAGTCAGTTAAGCATCTGACTCTTGATCTCAGCTCAGGTCTTGATCTCAGGGTGTTAAGTTCAAGAACCCTGTTGGGCCCACGCTGGGTGTGGAGCCTACTTAAAAAAAGAGAGAGAGAGAGAAATCCTAGAAAGGAATTGCTAATTCAAAAAGCTTATGGCTGTTCTTAAGGATTTAAATTCATCTTGCCAAACCGCACCCTGGAAAGAATGCACTGATTTATACTCCCAGCAGCAGGGACTTCTCTTAGATCTCACCACAGATTACAAGAGGTCAGAATTCTCTTTTTCAGATGCCTGGACTCTGTTGTTATCTGGGCGGGGAAGGGAGGGGGGTGGACTGCTGTACTTACGGAAACATGTCCTGTATTTATCCGGACCTGCTATCAATCCTGGGCTTCTGGGTTGAGACTAGAACAGGGAGGGGGACAGCCAGCTCTGGGCTCAGCCCCTCAGTGTTTCGGCTCCTGGCGCCTGGGCCCCTCTCAGCTCGGCTACTGCTTGGGGAGGCCACGTGTGTGTCCGCCTGGCATTGAGAAACATTTGACTTAGGTCTGAGGCTGGGGCTTGGGAAGCGGATTAGATTCCAAGTCACCTCCCTGTGAAGATGCCACTGAGCGTGAGGACGGGCAAGATTAAGTAAGATTCAATTTTCCCTTGGGGCACCTGGGTTGCTCAGTGGGTTAAGCCTCTGCCTTCAGCTCAGGTTATGATCTCAGGGTCCTGGGATCAAGCCCCGCATAGGGCTCTCTGCTCAGCAGGGAGCCTGCTACCCCCCCCCCCACCCCCACCCCTCTTTGCCTGCCTCTCTGCCTACTTGTGATCCCTCTCTGTCAAATAAATAAATACACTCTTTAAAAAAAAACAAAAAAATTCGCTTTCCCTCGTAAGGGCCTTTTGTGCCCCGGGAAGGCTTACTTCTCTGGGAACGGAGCAGGAAGCAACTTTTTTGGTCATATAGTCGCATGAGAGGTGAGCGCGAGCGCCCTTCGACGTCCTCCCGAGGCCCCCGGGCCCACCTGTGCCCGCCCCTGGGCGGCCGCCCCTCCCCCGGGGTGGGGAGGGTAGCAAGAGCCGGGGGCCAACCGGCTCCTTCCTTCCTTCGGTCCCTCCCGCCCCGGCTCCCGCCCGCCGGCTCCCGGACCTCAGCCACGTCTGAAAGCGGCTCATTGTGTGAGCTCTTCTGCGGCCGGCGGCGCGGAGCGGCTGCACGGGCAGCGCAGGGCTCCCGCGCGGGGGGCGGCGCCCGTCCCGGGGTCTGGGGGGTCTCCGGAGCAGTGGTTCCCGAGTCTGTGTCTGGGCGTGGCCGCACGACTGCGCCCCCCACACTTCCATCCCCTTCTTAAGACGCCTCTCCTTCTCCAGGACACTCCCGCCCTGTTTCCAGGTTCCCTCCGCCTTAGGTCTCCAGGTGCCTCCACTCTCTCGGTGTCTGCGGATCCGCGCCCGTGCCACTCCAAGCCTTCCCCCCGGTGTCACTGGGGGCCCCTTCCTAGCCTTGAGAGCCTACGGAGCACATCAGCCCCTGCGGACTCGCCCAGGGAAGACACGGCCGGTTGCGGACTGGAACTTGGAAGAGGAGACGTCAGGGAGCCTCTGCGGAGCCTCGGGAGTGGGGCGTCCGCCTCCCCCGCGGCGCCAGCCAGGGCAGAGGCGCCAGCTTTGGGGTACGTTGGTTGGTCCTCCCTCCGCACGGGATGCCCGCAGTCAGGGGCACGGAGCTCGTAGCCGGGGAGTCGGGTCTGGGGAGAAGAGCTGCGGGTGGTGTTTCTATCCGAACATGGGAAGGACACGGTAGCCCCTGGCGCTGGTGGGAAAGTGTCTTCCTGCGGCTTCAGCTCACCTGAGATCCCTGCTGGGGATCCCTAGACTCTGGAAACGTGAGTTTCGAAGGGCATGGTATTAATCTAGAAAGCTTCCCCCCACGGCACTCTTGAGGAAAAGCAACTTGGTGAGCGAATTTAGAACCATAAGCACCTGAATGGGAGTCTGGCTTGTTTCGCTGCTGGCTCTTGAGCAACGAGAAGGGTCTCTCTTGGTCTCAGCATAGGTGCCCCGGGATAAGTTCACCCTCTTTTCTCTCCCCATCTTGAGAAGAGGGAGGACTTGGCTGCCCCTGGGGCCGAGAGTGCGTGAGTTTGCCAAGTACCCGAGCTAATGGGAATGGTGTGTGTGGCTCCTTGAGCGTTGGCTGTGCCAACTAAGGCTTATATGGTTCCACTTACTCCTCTCTTCTTGGCCTGTTTCGCCGCCTGCTTTGCGGGTCCATGTTCTGTCCCTGCCTGGGATTGCCACATTCTGTTCCTAGGGTGCGACGTCCCCTGAACCAGGGCTGGCTGTTGTTCTTGAGTGTACCTTATGAGGAGGCTATTGCTTGGATCCATAGAAAGTAGTTGTAACCCAGGATTTGGAGGATTTCTGAGCAAACACAAATGTGCTGTATGACAGACATTGTTCTAAGTGCTTTAGCAATAGTAACTCACTGAATTAAAATCAAGCCCTGACTTGGGTGATATTATTTCCCCCATTTCATTTTTTTTTTTTTTTTTTAAGTAAGCTCTAGGCCCCCTAGAGCTTGAACTCATGACCCAGAGGTCAAGAGTTGCATGCTCTATGGCCGGAGCCAGCAAGGTGAATTTCCCCCATTTTATAGATTAAACAGCATTAGGCACCGAGAGATTAGGTGACTTGACCAAGATCACACAGTAAATGATCAAATGGGGTTCATTAGCCGCTGTGCTATCCCTACTCCTTGTCATGAGTCAGAATCCTGCTTCTAGTCTAGTAAGGGGAGATAAGTACAGAAATGCATAAAAAACGAGAGTATTGTGTAGGGTGACAGTAGCATTGACAATGATTTCTCAAAATTACCTAATACTCAGTCCGTGTTGAAATTTCCTATTGCCTCAAAGATACCTTCTTGCACATGGTTTGTTTGAATCAGAATCCAAACAACGTCCACACACGGGATCCAGCTGTTACATGTTTTGAATCATTTTCTTCTAAAACAGCCCCTTCCTCCTTGCCTTTTTTTATGTCATTGAATTCTAAGAATGACTTACTTTTCAAAAATAATAAATTAGTCGGGCGCCTAGGTGGCTCAGTGGGTTAAGCCGCTGCCTTCGGCTCAGGTCATGATCTCAGGGTCTTGGGATCTAGTCCCGCATCGGGTTCTCTGCTCCGCAGAGATCCTGCTTCCCTCTCTCTCTCTCTGCCTGCCTCTCCATCTACTTGTGATCTCTCTCTGTCAAATAAATAAAATCTTTAAAAAATAATAATAAATTAGTCAAAATAAAACGTTGAAAAAATAAACCAGAGAACATTCCAGATTATCCCCGTAATAAGAGAGCTCAGTCAACACCTAGGGAAACACGGGGTACGTGCTAAATGTGCACTCCCTTCCCTTATCCCCTGCATGTGTTACTTCAGAGAAGAGGTGGAAGCCCCCCAGACTTCAGGTCTCCCTGGCTGTAAGGTTCTATGATTGGGTCCTGTGCAAAGTGCAT